GTAGTGAACCAAAAAAACACCACTGCAATCCAACCTTGGTGATAGAGAGTATTTCTGGCGCGCGCGCACACACACACACACACACACACACACTGCTGCATTGTAACTATACACATGTAAGACACCATAGAGAACTAGAAGTGAATATTTGGAAGTGCTTAACAGTCAGACTTACTGGGCGTGGTGGTGCAAGCCTGTAGTGTCAGCTACTTGGGAGCCTGAGGCTGGAGGATCTCTTGATTCCAGGAGTTCTGGGCTGTATTGCACTATGCCGATCAGGTGTCCACACTAAGTTTGGCATCAATATGGTGACCTCCCGGGAGCAGGAGTGGGGGACCACCAGGTTGCCTAAGGAGGGGTGAACCAGCCCAGGTCTGAAATGGAGCAGGTCAAAACTCCCATGCTGATCAGTAGTGGGACTGTGCCTGTGAATAGCCACTACACTCAAGCCTGGGCAACATAGCAAGACCCCGTCTCTTAAAAAAAAAAAAAAAACAAAAAACCACCACCACAAAACCCAGACAGACACACAGTAAAGGGTGATGGCTCAAGGCTGAAGGTTTAGGAAAAAAATGAAATCTTTGTGAAACGGCTGAAAACCAAGTTAACTAAAGTGGCTCTTTCTTTCTGGTCATTTTCTTTTCTTTTTTTTTTTTGGCTTTTCCAAAATTCCCTTCTCTCTTTCACGACTTTGAGTTGAAAGTCGAGATAAATATTTATGCTATATGATGACCCACCTCCCTGCTACTGCAACCACAAATGTCACAGGTTCCTAAAGGCTCCGAGTATTTGTTTTAGACCAAGAAGGTTATTTTTCTAAAACAAGTCCATTTGCTCCACCAGGATACACAATGGGTAAAAATCTAGCTGTTAGGTACTAGCCAGAGTTATGCGAAGGAAAAGAATCCCTTTTTTTCTCTCAACAAGTTTTCCTTTCTAACCCACTTCCTTTGCCAACTGCTGATGAGGCATGTCTAATTTTGCAAAGTGATACTGTGATACTAGAACAGTGAGATGCACTGCCAGCTCCTTCTTTCCCGATCCAAAGGACCTCCTACCCTGAAACGTAACCTTACAACTGCAAGTGTTATATGTCACGGTGAACAGGCCTTTAGGAGATTATTTTTAAATGACCAAATATATACTAGTAAGAGAAACCTTCTTGAAAAACTGCTGTTATACAACCTGGGGCTGGAATAAAACAGCAGTAATGGCAATATATATGCAATTCCAAAAAGTACCATGCGTAAATGGCTTACAGTGAAGATGGCGCTACAAAAATGTTAACAGACGACTCAGAATTCTTCCAGTTCTCACAAAGATACTGAAAATATATGTGAAGAGTTGGGGGGTAACATCATATTTTATGATTTTCAATAATTAATAAATGTAAGTATACACTCTACTGCTTTCACTTCAATTCTAATATATGGAAGAGTTAATCAAAATACATCTCCACAACTTCTCAAAGAAAATACAGAAATTTAATACTCTGAGAAATATGATTCATTCAAATACAGTAGCTGAACGCTATAGAGTGGCTAAAGGCGATTCCAGATTCAGACCGCTGAGAACCTTAGTACCCGCCTCACCAACACCACTGGCTGCTATACAACCGGATTCCTGAAGCTTATCCACAGAGGAAGGTAACTGCCAAGATGAGGCTTAATGAAGCGTGGACAGTTCCACGCACAACGCCTGACACAGAGAACTCAAACTGTAGCTGTTGTTTCATAAATAATGTCTAAAGAATTCGAATAAGCTATTTTAGACTCAGTTTAGGTTCTCCAATTTTTAGAAATCTATTCTCAGACAAAACTGGGGGAAAAAAATACCGAATTTGAGTGGTAGTCCTGAAAAAAAAAAGTTGCAGGTATTAGAACAACTACAAATTATATGAATTTAATTATTTGTATAAACAAGATTTCGAAAATTTCTGCTAGCATACAAAGTCTCATTGTGTTATGAGCAAAAATAATCCATCAGAAAAAGGACCAACTGGATTTAGTTAGAAAGAACACATTGGCCGGGCTTGGACTCATGCCTATAATCCCAGCAATTTGGGAGGCCGAGGCGGGTGGGTCACGAGGTCAAGAGATCGAGATTATCCTGGTCAATGAGGTGAAACCCCGTCTCTACTAAAAATACAAAAATTAGCTGGGCATGGTGGTGCGTGCCTGTAGTCCCAGCTACTTGGGAGGCCGAGCCAGGAGAATTGCTTGAACCCAGGAGGCAGAGGTTGCGGTGAGCCGAGATCGTGCCATTGCACTCCAGTCTGGGTAACAACAGCAAAACTCCGTCTCAAAAGAAAAAAAAAAAAAAAAGGGGGCTGGGCGTGGTGGCTCACGCCTGTAATCCCAGCACTTTGGGAGGCCAAGGCGGGTGGATCACGAGGTCAAGAGATCGAGACCACCCTGGTCAACATGGTGAAACCCCGCCTCTATTAAAAATACAAAAAATTAGCTGGGCATGGTGGCGCGTGCCTGTAATCCCAGCTACTCAGGAGGCTGAGGCAGGAGAATTGCCTGAACCCAGGAGGCGGAAGTTGCAGTGAGCGGAGATCGCGCCATTGCACTCCAGCCTGGGTAACAAGAGAGAAACTCTGTCTCAAAAAAAAAAAAAAAGAAAGAACACATTAAGAAATTCCCAAGGCTGGACATGGTGGCTCATGCCTACAATCCCAGCACTTTGGGAGGCCAAAGAGGGTGGATTACGAGGTGAAACCCTTTCTCTACTAAAACACAAAAAAATTAGCACGTGCCTATAGTCCCAGCTACTCAGGAGGCGGAAGCAGGGAATGAATCGCTTGAACCCTGGAGGTGGAGATTGCAGTGAGCTGACATTGTGCCACTGCATTCCAGTCTGGGCAACAGAGCAAGACACCATCTCAAAAAGAAAAAAAAGCATGACTTACAAGGCATATTAATTCTAACTCAGTAATGTGGATTTTAAAAAGAAATTCTCCAGAGATAGATCAGCAATGATACCTCCCTGGGCTCTGGAGCAGTGTCTCCTGCTTTCTGTTTATCAGAAATCCAACCAATGTCTTGTCTTGCCTCACCAGTGGAACCACCATCTTCAGCTTTCTTACATGAATTAAGAAATTGTCATACCTAAGCAGCCAGGACCCTGTTGGGTGACATAATATCCTCTCAGTTGGCAAAGACGCTATTTTTTCAAGAACATCCTACCTGTCACAGGACCCTGCAATCCCACTCCAGGTACACACCCTAGAGAACAGAAGTCATAGAGCCACTCAAAAACTCGCACACAATGTGTACAATGGTATTAATAACAGGTAAAAGGTAGAAGTAACCCAAATACCCATCACTAATCAATGGGTAAACAAAATGTAGACTAGACATACAACTGAGTCATAAAAATGAATGATGTACAGTGATGCGTGCTATGGGGATGAAGCCTGTGAGCATGCTAAGTCAAAGAGCCACACATGCAGCCCACACATCATATGATTCTATTTATGTAAAGTGTACAAATGAGCAAATTCAGAAAGACCAAGTAAATGAGTGGTTGCCAGGGCTTGGGGGAAAGAGGGCATGAGGAGTGACTGCTAATGGGTACAAGGTGTCGTTCTGGGGTGATTAAAATGTTCGAAAATTAGACAGTGGTGACAGTTGTAAACCTGTAAATCTACTAAAAACCACTGCATTGTATACTTTTTAAAAGGGTGAATTTTATGGTATGTAATTATATCTCAATAAAGCTATTATTTTAAAAGAGTATCCTATATGTAAGTGCATATACATATGTAAAAATGCAAACACACACAATACATTTTAAGTGAATTCAGAGATGGACACAGTTTTATATCTACTTAATTTTTTTTTAGGATTCTAAAATATTAACCTATGTAAGAATATACTAGAATATGACAAAACCTAGTTTGATCATAACTGATATATTCTAAAAATTTAAACCTGAAGCTCTGTTGAATCAGCAGCTTTAAAGTCCTAGAATCAGTAGCAATCTCCTCTCTCCTGAGTGAGCTTAACTCTAATTTCAACGTTGTATGTGTACGGAATCAAGAAACCCTCCAAATTAGGCAGCGTGTCTACAACCACATGAATAGCAGCAGCCGCCTCTTTTCCACCCTCATTGCCTTTGCAGCACACGGCACAGTCCCCCATGCACATCACAGACCAAATACTAAAGGAATAAAATACCTTTTAAATACTGTTATTTAAAAAAATAGGGCCATAGCCTGGGTAACATAGCAAGACTCTGTCTCTACAAACAAAAAAAAATGGCCAGGTGTGGCGGCACGTGTCTGCGGTCCCAGCTACTTGGGAGGCTGAGATGGGAGGGTTGCTTGAGCCCAGGCAGTTGAGGCTGCAGTGAGCTGTGACCACGCCACTGCACTCCAGCCTGGGTGACAGAGCAGGACCTTGTCTTGAACACACAAAAAAATAGGGCCATAACAGGAAAACTTTCGCTCAATGTTCTGTCCCTTTAGATCAGGTCAAAGAACTTTTCCTGTGAAAGGGCAGGCAGTAAATATTTCAGGCTTCATACACCAAACTGTTTCTAACACAACTACTCAGCTGTTTCCATAACACAAGGCAGTCATAGACAATATGTAAACAAATGGACAGTAAAACAAATGATCTACTGAGAACTTCAGGACCTTGCTTTAGACCAGTGCTGCCCAATGGAACCTTCTACAATGACAGAAATATTTTATTATCTGACTCCTGAGCACTGGAAACACAGCTAGTGCGCCTAAGGAACGGAACCTTCAAAATATTTCAAATGTAAATAGTTACATGGGTCTAGTGGTGACTGTACTGACCAGCACTGCATTTGACTACTAATGAACCAGTTCTACTCTGTTCAAAAACTTAAGGCTAAAAATGAACTGCAATTATTTTACATGATGAATTGGGAGGAGAAAAATGACATAAAATCACACTAATTCATAGGTCATACTAGTAAATAAACAAAACTCTAATCAAATCAACCTGCGCTAGGCAGGAGGATACGTGTAGAGCTCCATGTATCTGGACTTGGCCATGCTCTGCCGTGTGTACACCTGCTGGATGCCGGCTCTGAGGTCGTCCCAGATCTGGTCCAGGCCAATCTGCTTCAGGCCATGGGGGTTCTGGCTCCGGGTTGATGACATTGTGAGGGATGTTCTCAAGTCGTCCAGTGCAGCAATCCTTATTCAAAGTACAGCTAGTTCTCCATTAGATGAAAATATACAGTACCATTCCGAATTTATTCACAGCGGCTCAGAAAGGATGTCCTTTAAATGTAGAGAATGCAATCTCATTGCAGGCAACCTGAGGAAGAAATAAGGAGAATTAGTGAATTCTCTCTGGGGTGCTATAATAGGGTGACACACACTCATAGAAACACTGAGTCTCCAGGCATCAGCAGGGCCCACTGTAGTCCAGAGACCATTTCTCTATGTAAAAACACTCTCATTAATCATATGGTCTGTGTACAAAAAAAAATGCTTAGTTAGACATTTAGTTCAAAATCATGATAGTATTAGCACTCAAGAGAAAGGCTGGGTAAAAGTTCACACAAGCACAACTAACTCTATGGCCTTTGCCTTTTAAAGTTATCAAAAATATGTATCACTTGACTTAGGTGACAATTAGAAAGACAAGTGCAAAGAAAAAAGGGCAAAGGATATGCTCAGGAATATCCCAGAAACACAAACAGCTAATAAATAGGAAAAATCATTTCACTCTCACAAGTTACCTATGACTTTTAAGCTCAGCAAGAATGCAAATGTTGGTGAGGCTGAAAATGAAAGGAAATAGGCACTCTTTTTAAGAAAGGATTCTGGCAAGAATTATCAAGATTTGAAACGTACTCTGAATTTAGAGATACCTGAGTTTGAAGCTCAATGCCACACCTACTAGGCAGGTACATTCGGTACTGGGTGAGTTTCTGAACCTCGTGAAGCTTTAATTTCCTAGTCTTAAAAATGGAGGCCAATCACTGTCCTTCAATGGTGGTTGTAGAGTTTAAATAAGATAATGTATAAGAAAATACTTAACATACAGCAAATGCTTAATACATGGTAGTGGCTATTATTTCTAAGAATATAAAACTAGTGCCAAATACAATTCATAATGCTTCAGCATCTTGACCCATAAAGTAACTCAGGTATTCAATATTGTATCAAATCAGTACTTCTCAATGTACAGTATCACAGACATAATTTAAGGACTACCTATGTATATCACATCAAAACGTAAAGGTTTTAAATAGGTATTTCTAGTGCAAATCAAGAAACATTGAGTAATTTTAATGGCTTCGTAAAATGTTGTTGGGAAGTAAACGAGACCTGGAACAAGGAGGCTAGGTTATCAAGGTCTGCAAACCCACGTCCAAGCTACCCTGTCATGTAAGTCAGCTCATCCTTTATCCTCAATGGCATTACAGAGTTCTGTGTAATCTAAGGCAAACTTTTTTTTTTTTAGACAGAGTCTTGCTCTGTCGCCAGATTGGAGTGCAGTGATGCAATCTCAGCTCACTGCAATCCCGGGTTCAAGCAGTTCTTCTGTCTCAGCCTCCCAAGTAGCTGGGACTACAGGCGTGTGCTACCACGCCCAGCTAATTTTTTGTATTTTTTAGTAGAGATGGGATTTCACCATGTTGGCCATGATGGTTTCGATCTCTTGACCTCGTGATCTGCCTGCCTCGGCCTTCCAAAGTGCTGGGATTACAGGTGTGAGTCACTGCGCCCGGCCATCTAAGGCACATTTAGGGACCCTGTGAGGCCACGCCTATGGAGTAAATCAGAGCCACTGAAACCTATTCTCCAATATGTATTTATATTCCGGGCTACGGAACTTAGTATTTTATGGATCCACATCATTCCGGAACCTAAAATATTTTATGTCTTACATTCAAATAGGTACGTTCAAATGTGGAATATATAAATATTTAAAACAAGGACTTACTCAAGTTTTAAGAAACTAACAACTCAGCAACCACTCTGCAAACGTTTCCTGTGTGTAGTGTCCATGTGCTTTCCTTTCATCATCTACTTTGGGAAGGTCAACAGCACACTTAATATTAATAAGTGTGTTTGGATTGGTGGTGCCATCTGATAGGATCGACTGTTTGGACCCACCCTACTTTCCGTCACTTACTCAACTTTTCCCTAGGGAGAAATTATCACTTAAATTCCCTAAACTTGCAGTTCAGTTAATTCTATCTTGGATGAGCTTTCTCATATCCCTCTAGATGCTCTTTTACTACTTTTCCTTCTCTTCTAATTTCTATCAGCAACTGAAAAAATGTTCTACTCTGCCCCTCAAATGCCTTTCCCCATCAGTGTTGTCCATGTCAGTGAGTGGCACCACCCCATGTATCCACAAGTCAGAAACCTGGGAACGAGCCTGATGCCACAGCCCTCATCTTTCATATTCAAGGGCTACGGACTTTCACTTTTTTTTTTTTTTGAGACGGAGTTTCGCTCTTGTTACCCAGGCTGGAGTGCAATGGCGCGATCTCGGCTCACCGCAACCTCCGCCTCCTGGGATCAGGCAATTCTCCTGCCTCAGCCTCTCAAGTACCTGGGATTACAGGCATGCGCCACCATGCCCAGCTAATTTTTTTGTATCTTTAGTAGAGATGGGGTTTCACCATGTTGACCAGGATGGTCTCGATATCTTGACCTCGTGATCCACCCGCCTCGGCCTCCCAAAGTGCTGGGATTACAGGCTTGAGCCACCACGCCCGGCCCGGACTTTCACTTTTAAAGTGACTTCAAATTCATTCACTCACCTCCATTTCCTCCTCTAGTAAACATCATCGTCATCATCTCTTACCTGGGCCACTATTTTAGTTGTTTAAACTAGATTCCAGTACCTTGCATCTGCTTGTGTCAGTCTTGACATAGCAATTTGCTGCATAAAATTGCTGTCATCTTAAAATGGTGTCATCGTGATTCTGAATAGGCTGTCACCCCAAGAGCCAAGGCAGTGTTTGTAGAAGGGAAATCCTGAATAGGGCACTATCGGATCCTTTTCTCTCTCTTCATTGGCCTCTTAACAAAACCTCAACTCTCCCTCTTCCTCCTCTCGGGTTCAGCCGCATGGATGTCCCCTTCCCTGGCCATGCCAGTCTCCTTTCCCAGCCAGAGGATCTCTGCATCTGCTGCTGCTTCTGCCTGCAGAGTACCCCCACTTCAAGTTGCCTTCCAGTCATACTTTCAAAGGAAACTTACTAGGAAGTCCCAGAAGCTGTTCAGGTTTGCCTTTAAGTGGGATTTTCCCTTCTTAACACTTACTCTAGGCTGTAATCCCGCACTTGTTTCTGTATTGTAACTCCCTCACTTCACTGGAATGCAAGCACCACTGGCTCGTAACAATCTCATACAGAGCCTGGCATGCAGGTCAACAAATATGTCACACAAATAATTGAGGGAATAAATTAAGAAACTGAAAAGCTGTACGTTTTTCAAAGATTTAGAAATAAAATACCAGTATCATCAAGCATCTGAACTTGCTCAAAATCCCTCTTGAGAATCTCTACAAAATGATAACTTCTGTTGTCTAAACTTTTTCCTTCAAATATTGGATTTTAGGCTAAACTTTATGTCTTCCTGTTTCATTTAGTCATGTTTTATATTATTTTGGTCACTGCAAATGTATACATACCCCAAAACAGTGTTTAAACAGGTTTCTGAAAATTACAGAATTTTAGTGACTACTTAGTTTTAACAAATATTTAGTAGGAAACTACCATATGCCAGGCACCATCTTAGGTATTATTGACTGTTAATAGTAAACCAAAACAGACATGGTCTACTTTCATAATGCTACAGCTATAGAATAAAGTGTGCTTATTTATTTTTAAATATGGCAACACTCTGTCACCCAGGCTGGAGTGCAGTGGCAGGATCACAGCTCTCTGCAGCCTCGACCCCTGGGCTCAGGTGATCCTCCCACCTCAGCCTCCCAAGTAAGTGGAACTACACGTTGGCACAACCACGCCTGGCTAATTTTAATTTTTGTGTGTGTGTGTGTGTGTAGAGATGGGGTTTTACCATGTTGCCCAGGCTGGTCTTGAACTCGTGAGCTCAAGCAATCGTCTAGCCTCAGCCTCCCAAAGTGTTGGCATTATAGGCGTGAGCCACAGGGCACCCGGCCAAGTGTGCATCTAAGACACTGACACATAACTTTTGGTATGTAACCTACTTGTAAAATCAGAAACTTTACGTGCTGTGCATTTGTGTACCAAAAGCATTTGTTCTTAAGAGCCAAATATAGTCCCTTTAAGGTTAACCTTAAAGATAGTTCTGACCCTTCCTTTTCAGACGAAGAAACTAATTCAAAGAAGCAATCAAACTTGGCAAGATTCTAATGCTACAAAGTAGCAGGACCACAAACTAGTACACTCCAGTCTAGGTTCTTCCATTTTCAAGGTGTCAAAACAGTGAAACCACTGAAAGAGTCAAAGGAAAAAACAACCATCAATTGCCTATTTGTTAAATGAGGAAACCTCAACATCTCCAATTAAAAGAGCCCATAGTTTTAAAGAGTTAACAAGTCAGTCCTAATGGTAGCAGTATTAAATCTATTCAAATATTTTGAAATTTAAGAAACTCCGATTTTTTTCCTAAAGTTTGACTTTTGAAAAACTAAGATAAACACTGCAACTCTGAGGACAATATAAAAGATAAAGTCGAGACACCAGTTATCCTCCAGCAAAGTTAAAATATAGCAAATAAAGTGTCAGTGTGAATTTTTCTCCCTAATACCTCCATTCTCCTGTCTCAGCGTAAGCACATCAAATATGTTTGTTTCATATTCCCTATTCTTTGTATCACATTTGATTCCAATTACGGATCTTACTCTATTAAAACTCACTGATGGCCAGGCATGGTGGCTCACGTCTGTAATCCCAGCACTTTGCGAGGCCCAGATGGGTGGATCATGAGGTCCAGAGACTGAGACCATCCTAGCCAAAATGGTGAAACCCTGTCTCTACTAATAATACAAAAATTAGCTGGGTGTGGTAGCATGCACCTGTAATCCCAGCTACTTGGAAGGCTGAGGCAGGAGAATCACTTGAACCTGGGAGATATTGGGCCACTGAACTCTAGACTGGCAACAAAGTGAGACTCTGTCTAAAACGAAAACAAACAAAAAACCACTCACTGATAAATGTATGAGATCATATACAACTTTTCCTGTCACACTGTCAAGTTTACTTGCTGTACACTTTCTGTGTCCAGGTCTACACATGGTAACTTTATGCCACATCACACCTGTTTATATTCCAAATATGCTGAAAAACTAGCAAAATCTTCTAT